CTATGGAACCCTGGCCAGCTCCCTGGGGATCTAACTCAAAATGAGGATGAAGCTTGGAGAAGCTACAAGACCTGGTGACTAATCCAATCCCTGAAGGAACAGAGAGGACATAATAGCATGAGACTCTCACTGGATAAAGCCACTGGGGCAATCTGTATCAAAGCAGCTGTAACTTAAGGCTAGAGCTAGGGATTTGAATGGGCAGGAAGAAAAGGAGGGAGAGCTGAAGTGAAGAGAGCAAAGGTACAGACAGACGGCACGTGGATATGTGCTGCTGAGAGAGAGAAGGGCCATCGTGGTGAGAACCTTGGAGTCTAGCAGGTGCCACGGTAACCCACCAGGGTATGGCTGCTGTCTGGAGCGGCTGCCCCCTCCAGGGTGGCCCTCCTTTACCCTCTCCGATTCTTCACCTTCCTTGATAATAAAGGACCCTGACTGTTTGCAGCATAAAGTCTCAATTCCCTGGCGTGGTTCTTAAGGCTCACTGGGATCTAGCCCTGGTGCCTAGGGTCCTAGACCTTACTGAACAATTGGCTCTCTGCCAGCACAAGCTACTCACCCAACCTTTCAGGAGACTTTCTCAAGGCAGTCTCCTGAGTCTGAGATATTCCCTCCCCTCCTACCCATCCCTGCCACCCTACTACCTGAAGGTAACCACTCATTTTTTAGGTCCTGCTGGGCTGCACTTGGTGGGGTCTGCTCTATGCACAGGGACAGAGTCTAGAGTACTCTGAGGCCTGTAAGAATTTAGCCTTCACATAGGACACCTGGCTGACCTGGCACCTGAGATCCCCAAGCTCTCAGCGCTGTCTCAGCCAAAGGTGAGTATCCCAGGCTGGGGCCAGCTGCACAGCTCCCATTCTTTGGGTGAGAGATGCTTGCTCATTCTCTGTGCTCTAGCAAGAGTAGAGCTGGTTTCATCCAAGGACTCAGGGAGCGAGTGAGCAGGCAAGGTGAGTAAGTGGGCAGGGATTGACCAATGAGAACAACAAGCACCCTTGGCCTTAGCTCAAAGATGGCATGTGCCCTAGGTTGAAAGGGGCATTCGACACTTCTGACAACATTGAGAAAAGGAGATCTTAATGGGGGTGAATAGGATCGTGATCATGTATAAAATGACAAAAAGCTTAAAAAAGAGAAGGAACTCTATTCCCATTTGGATGGCTCGGCTGACAGACACAACAGTGCCCAGAACCTGCTGAGAATGAGAGCAGGAGGAAGGAGGCAGACTCCTGCCAGCTGGGTCTAAGCACCTGCCCTCTGCCATGGTCTAGCTAGAACATACCACTCAGTATCAAGAGCCAATCGACTCCACTAGCACTTAAGGCAATTTAGCAGGATCCATCACTTGGACCAAGACTCTTGACACCACACAGTGACTAGAATGAAGGCAATGATAGAACCACCAAGGTTCTATCAGTTTGTGGGCTCACAGTCCCCCTTTCCAAATAACATGTCAATAGCAGTCAAGGGACTCCACCAGTAGAGGTTCTACTTAGTGATAAACATTTGTCAGTTAATGTCACAGTCTTGTCACTAGTCTGGGCAATAAACTGCCAATGAGGTGTCTGGAATAACTACCTGACTATTCCATCTGCCCTTCACTAAATGACTGACCCAACTTGGTAGGTAAATAGCTCAGGTACAGTTTTTCACTATTAGCAAAAGCAAAACCCCATGACATAGCAAAGTTTCTTTCCAGTTTGTAAGAGGGGTGTGCTGTGATGGAAAGAGTATTGTTTTTCTTTTCTTTTTTCTTGTTTTGGTTTTTCGAGACAGGGTTCCTCTGTGTAACAGCTCCGGCTTTCCTGGAACTCACTCTGTAGATCATGCTGTCCTCGAACTCTCAGAGATTCGCCTGCCTCTGCCTCCCACGAGCTGAGATTAAAGACATGTGCCGCCACCACCTGGCTGAAAAGAGTATTTTTAAAGCAGAGGTTGGGCATGTATGTCATGGTGATGTCTGTAATTCCAGCACTTAGGAGCAAGAGTTTGAGGACAGCCAGAGCAAAACCTTGTCTCTTTCCCCTTACACCTCTGTGCCCCTGCAGAAAGAAATATAAAAACCAACACTAAAGAACTCTATTCTCAATTTTCTCAAAATCTTAACATCTCATTCCACCAAGACTGTGCTAGATCGGGGAAGAATGTACTGGAGTCCAGGCTCGGTGGTGCATGCCTAGAATCCCTATATAAAGACTAAGGAAGGAGGATCATGAATTCTAGACCAGCCTGGACTATGAAAAGACCACAGTTTTTTTGTTTTTGTTTTGTTGCTGTTGTTTTGGTTTGTCTTTGTTTTAAAGGATTTGGGACTATCACCTATAACTAGGACGGTGATTTGTGATGGATTCCTCAAAGCTTTCCTGGTTTTAGCACTGAAAGTCCTATATCCTGGGAAACGCCCCCTAGTATGCCCCAGTGCAGGACAAACTTTTAGTGTTCATCACCCTACATGTCAGAAAGCCTCTTCCTACTCACAGCCTTGCTTCCTATAGCCACCAACCCACAACCCTGACTATGATGCTCACCATGTGGCTGTGTCATACGATGATGATTCTTTCTCATCTGGGGGCTCCTAGCTAGTGTTTCCTCTTCCAGAAAGATTCTAAGAAGAGATTCTACAGACCTCTGGGCCTGCTGCAGTTCCAGCATTTGCCACACTGTAGAATCCCGACTCCACTGTGGCCTTCCAGGGGCAGCCAGCAGACTCCCCCAGGGAACCAGCTGCTCTGTACCCAAGAGTCTTACTGCCACAGGCAGACGAAGGGCGGCACAAGCACTGGCTAGGCACGAGCTGTCTGTGGTACCCTTCTGCAAGTCACCTTGGAAGCTCTAAGCTCCGTGCCAATCAATTCTCAGGTCCCTGAGCAGTGATGGCAATTAAACAGATCAACCTGACCTAAGGCAGGCGAGCTCTTTTTCCAGTGACCTTCACAATGAACCTGAGAAGTTCCTGGGATGTTGGGAAGGAACCTGAGGCCCCTTACATTCCCAGATGTGCACTGGTTGGACATCAAAGATGCCCATTGACCATGACATGTAGCCCAGTCAAAAGTATCCTCAAACTGAGAGTTTTATCCAGAAAGACAGTATAACAAGGAAACTAGAATCGAGATCTGACTGACAGTCTTCAGTTGTTCCACCTTGGGACAGGTGATCTAAGCTCCCGGAATCTTAGCCCTTGTGTCTACATAATGGAAACCATAAAAGAAAGCAGGAACTCTTTAGCAAGACAAAGTAACACAATAAATGGGAAATTAAAGTGGCTACAGCCAGAGCTAAGGGAGAGTCAGCTGCAGGTGCTTGGGTAGGCCCAGCCCCTCAGGATACACCCTCCCCTTCACAGCCATATCCACCCACACATTCCTCAAATCCTTCAGCCACTCATCCACATCACACTCCTTTCTGGGACATCTGCCATTCTGCTTAAGATTTCTGCATCCCTACCAACCCCCCTTTTTGCCCTCGACCTCTCTCCTCTCCTTGGCTTCTCTCTCCACCCCCAAACCATCCTGCTCTCCACACTTGGAGAGCCATAAACATTTAATAAATGCTTGCTCTATGACAGAAGCCATTCTATACCCCTGGGATCAAATGAGAAGCCCCCATCTAATTTTTAGCTCATCAATCCTTTCTAGGGACCCCTACCTTCCTTTCTATTGTTACCTCACCATCCTCCCATCCCCTCCCTTTACTTAGCATTAAAAACCCTGTGGTCTCCCCTCTGAAAAGAAGCTGTTTCCTTCCCCCCCCCTTTAGCACCCCACCTCCAGTTCTCTCCCTGAGGTTCCTCCTCCTCGAAGGTCTCTATCTTCCACCACTCTCTCAATTTGCGCCCCACCTCCACCAATCCCAAGGCTCTGCCTGAATGTTCTGCAACTCTTGCCCAATTTATTTTTTCTTTTTTTCTTCTTCTTCTTCCTTTCCATTCTTTAAGTATCCACTGAGTTCTTACTGTGCACTGGGCACATGCTACATCCTGGAAAAACAACTGCAAAGAAACCAAGCAGCCTCTTATGCCTTGGAAGTATCAGTTTAACAAAAGCTAGAAAGAAACCACAGAACCATAGAAGACAGCAGGAGTATGATGAATGAAACCACTAGACAGAAAGGAACTGGGGTGGGCTGGGAAGGCTTGGCTACCACGATTAGCTACCTGCTGTGTATCAATACTGGGTCAATCACTTTCCATGCACAGCATCACCCAATCCTTGTACAGTTCATAGTTCCCAACTGGTAATGGTAAATTGTAAAAGCAAAGAGATAAAATTTGACCAAGGCCACAGTCATTAAGTGGCCGAGTCAGAATCTGAACACAGGTCTAACTCCAAAGCTAGCCTCTTCTGCGTATGTTCCTGTCTCCCCAGGACCCTGTCAGCCACCTGTCCTCTCCCAAAGTGCTACTGCTGACTATCCCTCTAGATTTCCTTCTGGAAATATTTCGTTCTTTTAATCACTGTTCTTTTTAGAGCACTTGTACATGTTCTGAGCGTTTTGTTCATTCTCTTATCCACCCAATCCTAAAAATAACCACAGAAAGTAGTACTGTCACTCTATTCGTTTTACAGCTAAGGAAACTGAAGCTTAAATGCATACTGCTAAATTCGAACCCAGATCTGGCCGATTCTGGGGCCTCTGGCCTTTAAACTATCCATCCAAGAAGAAGTGCCACCCCGAGACGCTCAGTGGCCACCGTCTGCCCCCCATGAGGACAACTCTAGTCCACAAACCGAAAACTCATCGATGCCCTTACTTTTCAGGTTGGGGGTCTAGAGACTGAAAAGTCACACGACTTGTCCAAGGTCAGAAGGCCAGGAGCGACAGGGTCAGGGTTCGAAGCCAGGTGCCCTGACTCCAAAGCCTCGCGGATAACCAGCACAGTACCCTCCGGCGGCGACCCTGTCCACCTCGTACCTCGGCGCCCAGCGAGCCAAGCCCGCGTCTGGGCGTCCGCGCCCGGCCCCGCGGCCTCCCCGCCGCGCGCCCCGCACACTCACTTCAGGTGGTCCAAGGAGTGGATGTTGCGGGAGGACTTGCCGTGGCCCCCGCCCACCCAGCTCCGCGAGCGGCCAAACATGTCCGCAGCCCAGGCCCGTCGCCCGCCTCAGGTTTTCATGTCCGATTCTCCCAGCGACCCGGCGTCCGCGGCGACATCTCAAGCTCAGCCGGCAGCGGCGGGGGCGGCGGAGAGACCGCCAAGCACCTTCCTCCCCGGCCCACAGCCCCGCACTGACATTCAGCCGGAACCGGCCGTTCGACCGCCGCGCTTTACGGCCGCCGTCGCGAGGAACTCTGGGAAATGAAGTTCTCGAGTGAGGCACCGGGCGACGGGACTCTGGGAACGGACTACAAGAGCCGGCATGACTCGCGCGGCCATCCAAAAGAGGCGGGGCAAGAGGCGGTGAGCAGGCGGGACACTGTCGGGGGCGGGAGGGGGGGGGACGGTAACAGGGGTGGGAAGGGGAGGTGAAGGGGGGCGGGAACGGAAAATTTGTGGGCAGAGCTTTGGGGGACAGTTTGCTGAAAATGGGAGAAAACACTTCGTAATTAGAAAAAGAAGAGTGTGCCCTGAAACCCTAGTTACTAGAGATTCCGAGTCAAGAGGTGTAAGTTGGAGATTTGGCGAGGTTTAGTTTTCTTAAATTAAAAAAACAAAAATGTGCCGGGCGTTGGTGGCGCATGCCTTTAATCCCAGCACTCGGGAGGCAGAGCCAGGCGGATCTCTGTGAGTTCGAGGCCAGCCTGGGCTACCAA